TCCCAAAAACGTCCTATCCTAGGGATAAAACAGCAATCATTTTCTCTACCTCTTCTCCTCCATGGGCGGCGGCAGGGCAGTCAAGACTAAGTCAGAGGAAGGGCGTGGAGCTGGAACATGGTTTGGCAGAAGCCACTTGTTGGAAGACAACAGACGGATTTGTATCTAGAGGAGCGATGCTACACCAGACAGAGGCCAGGCCTATTTGTGAACACAACTGTACTCTTTCAAATACACACACACTGGAATCAGGCCCACCTGAGACTGATCCCATCCCCCATATGTGATTGATCCAAACACACCTACTTTGAAAAGAAAGTTCTTTTTCTGTACATGACAATAAACATGCAACACTTTCCTCTGATTACATTCACTCCACCCAAAAAACCTGCATTCTAAATCCTCATTTAATGATCATGACCAAAGGTCTTGTTAAGAAAATGCCTCATGGAGGACTCAACACTGGCCGCTCTGCTGAAGAAGACACCAGCATCATGGGAGACAGTTGCCCAGGATTTATGGTCGGTAATTAGCAAAAGCCTGTACAGATTCTCTTGCAACAGACTGAGACAAATTGCGAAGGCTGCAAGCAGGACAGGGGACCACAAGCTGTCCAAAAGAAGATCCATCCTTGCAATTCCACCTAATTCCCGAGATGAGGCATGCCAACAGTGGTCTGAGGCAACAACAGGCCCTGCTTGTAAAACGAAGGGACCCACGAAGGGTTAATGCTATCCAGGGCTATCTGTCAGGCTCAAAGGCTTTTCCAATCTCTCTCCCTGCACAAAAAAAGGGTAAGAAAGAACGAAAAGGAAAAGAAGGGAGAAAAACACTTCAAAGCCTTGTCATCTGGCATTGCGGAGAGCTGGTTTGAATTAACTTCAATTCTCCTCTCTGTTTCCAAGTTCATGGCGAGAATGCCTGGGCTTCTGGTTTTCATTAGAGCCAATTTTCTTATCTTTTTTCTCCCTCTTTCTTCATCTCAGGCTTGATCCCCTGCAAATGCAACGTGGCACTGGCTGTGGCTGAATAAAAAGGTGCTGCCCGCAAGGCACGCATTGTCTCACATGGCCCGCAAAACATGGCTGAGAGGGAAACAAGGGAAATGGAGGGAAAAGGAGCGGGAGGGAGACAGAAAGAAAGAAAGAGAGACTATGATTTTTGTTTACACCAGAGGAGCTTTCTATTTATCTGATCCTCTCCTCTGTTTGGTTGACTACAGATTTTCCCCATTCAGACTTTTATCATTACATCAATACTGCACTATTTGCCATGGAGAGAGAAGAGAGAGAAAAGAGAGAGAGAGAGAGAGAGTGAGAGAGAGAGAGAGAGAGATGGGTAGGTGATGGAAAGAGAGGGAAAGGAAGGAGTGTGCTAGAGAGCAGGAAGAGACAGACAAAGGAGAGATATATGAACTGTTGTGCGCTCCCTCCCCAGTCTTTGGGGAAAGATAAATCAAGGCTGTGAGAATGGTGCGGTGCTGTATGATTGATCAGAGGGGCCAGGGAGAGTGAGAGAGCGAGCGAGAGAGAGAGAGAGAACAAGGGGATGGACAACTAAATAAGAAAGTGTTTGGGAGGGTGTTCTCTCACTGAGTTGAAACCAAACAGTGATTTAATGCATCAGCTAATTGTCAAGCCCTTCATGTATTGAATCAGGTGTGCCAGTGAAAGGAGAACACCAGTGCTGAGCTGCTGCGACCGTGGAATTAGAGGTTCTACTGACTTTATTCCAGTGTATTCTGGACAGAGAGAGAGAACAGGGATTTGCGCTGTTTGAACCCCACCTTCTGAAACTTATTCTAGGTTTTAATTGGATTACACTAATGGCTCATATCAGGTTGCTGTTGCTGACTGGAGCAAAGTGTTACTCTTCAGTGGTTTGGGACATTCTGACTAACACATGCAATATGGCAGAAATCTCTGCTGGGTCCACTGATGTGTCAAAAACAGTTAATACAGAGCTGCATGAACACACAACACCATCTGTGCTGTCTAATGCAAAATCTCTCCTGTATATGTTTTCAGTTGACTTTTATTACTTAGTTTTTTATATTTACCTATACCTAATTTTTAAAATAAGAACATTTTTAAATGCTTGTAATTTACTTCTACACACTGCTGTCTGAGACAGACATTCTTGATCAGAAGGCCTAGGAGTGACAGGTGGGATGCAGCAGAAGCGAGGAAAAGAAGAAGAGAAGAAAAGTAGACAGCATGTATGAAAACATAAAAAGTGAAGTGGACAAATGGAGAGGAGAGGGGATGAAAAGAGAGGAAAGAAAGGAAAGTAGACGACAGTAGAACAGCAGAGAGGAGAGGAGAGAGGAGGAGAAAGAGAGAAGAGAAGAAGAGAGGAGAGGTGAGGTGAGGACAGAAGAAGAGAGGAAAAGAGAGGAGACAGAATCAGGGAGTAGGGCAGCAGGGCTGGCTGTAGTGCACAGTGATCAGTATGAATGGGCTGGCTGTATGGGGCTCTGTGCCAGGCTCAGAGCAGCGGCTGGCAGCAGGGAGTGTGAGAGACTCACTCAGCTCAGTGAACTGGGACTGTGAGTGTGTGAGAGCTCACACAATCTTACCACACACCGCTGCCCAGCACACTAAGGCTCTAAGACTAACCCTGACTCACCTACAAACACCTCAACCATACTTCAAACAGTGACATTCATGATCGCTCAGATTACACTGAGTAACGCTGCTAATTGCACAGATTAAGTATACATCCACATCAGTGCTTAACTTCAGCTCAGTGCTCACTGGTTCCACTGAAGAGCTGAAGTTAACCACTGATGTGGATGTATACTCAATCTACAAAACTATAGATCTAAGTTGAGAGTGGCTGGCTTGCTGCTAAGGCAGTGATATACACAGTATTTTTGACGGTAGACAGAATCTCAACCTTGCCCTTGCCTTTGTACATAAAGAAGTGATATATATATATATATATATATATATATATATATATATATATACACACACACACACAATAATCGAGAGAGTAATCGAGAGAGTACTGCAGTAGGATGGTCTGGGGTCAGTGGGTGATGCAGGTCTGAAGCAGCTGGCATCACTTAGGCCCTGCGTGCGGAGCCTGTGCCGGACTGGGGCTGTGTTGTTTATCAGAGACGTGGGCAGATTTACAGCAGCGGACAGACGAGGAAGGGCTGATTGGGGCATGAAGAAGGAGGAGTGGAAGGAGGTGAAGAAAGGGATGAGCACGGATCATCTGGGTTTATCACCGACCCGCCATGGGCCGTTTGTCATCCGTCTACCTGAGGGATCAGACTGAACGCATTGGGCGCAGATTCCCCTCTTCAAAGCGCCTGGCCAGGGGCGTCTCGAATGGGCCATGCGCCCGCGCCCTGGGGGGAGAGGGTTATTAATAGGCCCAGACACCAGAGCTAATGGGGCTCAGCCCCACTGGCACGTCCTCAAAGACTCCCATCAGCCTCTGCGCACAGATAAAAGAGGCTGTCCAACAGATGAGAAGCGCTTAAACAAATTGTTACAAGACAGTGTTTTGGAACCTTTCTTCCTCCCACTTATTTCTATTTGCTCCTAGATGCTTAAAATCCCTGTGAAAATCGTGGGGACTGTGCAGAAGCTTGCTTGCCACATTCTCTTCAGCTGTCAGGCTAGAGTCAGTGCAGTGATTATACGAAGTGTGGCTCTTTAAATTTGTGCACAGTAGCACAACGCGTCTTCCACTTTGCCTTCTTTGAAATTCAGATTTACGATGTGCTGTTAGCTACCTGGAGGCTTTAACAGGCTTACAAAGAGCGTTGCCATCGATATTCTCTGGGTGTTAGAGGAGCAGGCAGCTCGGGGGTCAGCAGGGCGAGTGGATGTCTGGTTGATATTCTGCCTTAGGCTTACACACAGTAAAATGGGAAACAAATCATCCAGAGACGTGAGGTAGAGGCTGCGTGTATCTTCCAAAGGTGCTCTCTAGCTGGGAGCCTGCGCTTGTTGTCAATTACCAAAGCAACACTATGCTTTAAAAAATAATGGTGGGCAATATGGCAAGAATATAACATGATATTTGAAGCCATTTTCATTATATGTGTCATAACATCCAGCTTTTCTGACATTTGTAACAAATTGTAATGGATAAAATGGCAACATTGTATCATATTTAAAGGGTCCCTATCATGAAGCTTGATGTTATATCTAACTTACATATTATATTTAAACGCTGATAAAGTTTTATATCACAGCCATGCTGTCCATATAAATTGGCACTGAGATGCAAAAACATTTTGAATGAACTGTTTTATGAGGTCATGAAAACCAACTCATTTACATATATCCATCTATTCAACCCACAGCAGTTTATCTCTGGCTTTTTACATCAAAGTTATAAGGAGCGTTTCATCCTGGACTTCTTTTTGAAAGTGATCAAATATAAGTCAGCCAATCAGAACAGAGTTCATTTACATATATTAGTCTTAAAGGCACAGTAACAAAAACAGCCTGTTTGTTTCTAAGAGTTAAAGAAAGGTTGGAAAATGTCAACGTTAAATAATAACTGTTTTTGGTTCATAAACCCATAAAAATGTCACGATGGGGGGGGGGGTCTTTTAAAAACAAAATACGAATACCATTTTTTTAAAAACAAGTTTGCAAAAATATTTTTTATATATCAAAATGTATATATATAATTTTTAAAGAACAGGAAGGAAAAAAATCAATTAGTAAAAATTACTGCCCCATCTAAATCTCTTTATGATACTGCCATGCCGTTGTGCTCTTCAAGTGCTGATGATGCAATATACGCAGAAAAGAGTATTTTTAGGTAATTTATCCTTATAATACACAATAACAAATCCCCAGACTGCCCACCACTTGTGAACGTGCTAAAATGCACCACACGCGGTTCAGATGAATGTTCCGAGTGCTCAGCAGGTAGCGGCAGGAGTGAGCTCAGAGGAGGAATAGCAGTGAAGAAATAACACACATCACACCTAGTTAGCCACAAACCACTGAGAGTGGGGCTGTTACCTGAAGGCTGCCAGATATTCTGCATCACCCATGGGAGGATCCAGGCCACCGGTGAAGGCCATGTTCACATTGAAGCCCAAGCCAGGTCCCGAGCCCACCTGGTTCAGAGGACACAGACACACGCAGTGTGAGAAAGGCTGGAATTTTATACATTTTCCTGTGTTCTTATGTAGATTTTAGCTGTGGTCAGTCATCATTATTGCAATGAACTGCACTGTGAAGACAATAAACAGGGTGAGATATGCTCTCTCTTAAGCAGAGGCTGCTGAACATGAAACTAATTTAACTAGAGTGGCGAACAAGGCTATAAGGTGCGGTCTGGGTTACAACAATGTCACCTCTTTGAAGTAGCTAAAGTCTCTCATGAAACCTGTATATGTGGCCATCTCTGCAGAGAAGCTAAATTAAGCTTGGTGCCACAACACAACAGACACAGCAACCACAGCATGGCACTCGTATTTAGTGGCAATAAGTATTTTAACCTTGCAGGGATTCTTTTCGTTAGACTGGTTCTAACACATAATCTGCATAAAGAACACAGTTAAAGCAGATATTGTTTAACATAAATTCATATTCGCACCCACCTGAACTTGATTTCTCTACAGATAATCAGGAATAGGTTAGAAACAGATGTTCACAAGTCGACTTATGTGAGTCAGATTTGAGTTTCAGGTCTCTGGGGTCCGAGTCAGAGTTGACACTTGAGTCTCTGGGGTGTGAGCAAGATTTAAGTCTTGAATCATAAGGTGCTTAAGAGTTAAAACAAATTGCCTCTTTCCTTTAAACACTACATTTACTGCATGAAGTGCTTTGTTCTGTCTAGTAGACTAAAGGTTTTTCTATAGTGAAAGGCTCATTATTTCAAGCCATACTTAACCTAATGCCACTGTGAGCTGCAGGACGATGACACTGCAGTAACAATTATGTTTGACTGCAGCAAAACAGTCAGGTCAAGTCACAAATGTAAGAATAGAACTCAAACGTTTTATTCATTCATTGCATTAAGGTTGGCGGTCCTTATTTAATCAGTTTTCCTCAAGTTTTTTTCTCAGGCTGAACTTTCACGAGTCTCTAATTTTGAGTCTGAGATGAGTTGTGTGTCATTTAATAGCAAGTCTGAGCCGAATCTTGAATTAGTTAACATGCAACTTAAGTGTGACTCAAGTCCCCATCTCTATTTAGGAATTCACCAGAAAATCAATGCAAGCTATAATAAGTGACCTAGAAAACTGATGTGTTCTAAAGAAAAGGTGAATGTTAAAGAACACTTGAGTCTCTGTGGTGCTGTGTGTGTATATAGATGTTCATAGTGGAGGAAAACTAAAACCGTCTGCAGTCTCATTGCCCCACTCAGCGTGAGACATGATGACTCTGTGTCTCGGCAGCGCCTGTGGCTTCTGACCTCATCAGGAGCTCCACTGCCAGGGAAGAAGTTGCCGTCGTCATAGCGATGAAGAGAAAGGTATAAGATGTTGGGGTCGCTGTAGAAAGCCTGTTGGGTCCCGTTGCCATGGTGAACATCCTAGAGGACAACAGTGGTTTCAGCAGTTAGCATTTATCAGCATTTATCCAGCTGTCTGACTGTCAGTACAAATACAAATAGATACATGCACTCTTAGCTCATAGTCCAACTGCTGATGGAAAAAAAGCACACTGAACCGCACATGTACTGCAGGTGACTCACAGAAAGAACAAGAAAAATATGCATTCGTTAAGACAATGTTGAAATCAGATGTAGTGCTGGAAAACACATTTTTACACAAGCGCATATTTTTACCAAAATTAAAATGTGTAAAGATTCTATTCTGAGCTCACTGTAATGGAAGAGGAAGACTTAATAGCTTTTTTGTCTCATCCCTTCTCGTTTGATGTGAGGCCCTGTGTGTCGTGGCCTGTGTGACAGACAGGAGGAAATGAAGGGCATTTCAAAGGCATCCTGAGGCCCTAATGATCCCAGTAGTCTCGCCATCACGCCAGCAGGCTTCCTGTGCGCCAGGGCCCGTTTCATGCCACCACAGGCCAGGCTGGACAGGGACACGCACTGACCTACATACAGCAGCCCCTGGCTTCCTGTCACTGTCTATATGGACGGCTCTCCAAAGACAAGCCTTTCAGATTCTTTGCAGTTTTCAGGTCAGTGTATGGTTCTGCATGATACAATGCAGTAATTGCATATCTATTTAATTTAGTTAGAAATTTACACATACAATACTCTCAATACTCTTAGGCACATCAGAAAATTCAATAATAATATTTGACAAGCTATTTAATTAATTTGCTGAGAAAAACACTAAAATTACAATAAACACAAATAAATTTAATATGAGTAGTAATGTTAAGTGTCAATGTGTTCACCTAACCATTTCCAAACCTCTCCTCGAGGACGCCCAGTACTACTTGCAGTCTATTATTATTCCTAGTCTTATTTCAAGTTAATTCTTCAGTAAATTCTCAGGTGTGTTGGTGATAGATTTGAACAAATCTATGCAATGCTGCTGTTGAGGTCAAGTTCAAAACCAAATGTGTTCCAACTCACAAGATATCAATTACTTTTTTGAAAACAAGAAATTGTTCTCTTTTCTATTTCTTTCTTTTTTTTACTGTATTTATGTTTATTTGAATGCATTCAAATGTTATGTAGTGCGTTTACAAGCAAAATGCACATATTACTGAGATGGTAAATTGATATCTTTTAATTGTAATGTTAAATAAATTTTAATTTATATTTCCCTTTGTCTTCAGGAACTGTTCATCCATGACCTCTTGTTTCACTGGGGTATAAATATGGTGCCACAGATTCTAAATTCCCTTATTCATCAACATGGGAAGGTTTAGAGAATACACGAATAACCAAGAGCACCAATGATTAAAGGGGTTGACTGTATTTGTTGGTAATAAAATGTTCCCATATTTAATATATCTAAATTATACATTTTCCACATATTTAATTGATGTAAACATTTTATTTCTACATAAAACTATTTAGGTGGCACTAAAATGTAATGTTTCACTAGTAGTATGTGCTGGTCCTTCAGCTTACCATAAAATGGCAATATGAAGTGACCATCACAGTCAGTGTACTAGTTTTCTTCCCCAGAGATCACAGAGTCTTCATTTTTCATTATAATGTAACATTTCATACTTGCTACTGTTCATTTTCCATGCTCATGTCATTAAGGATGAATAAAAACCTCTATACTGACCACACCACCTCTTTAATAAGGCACTCACCCAGTCCACTATGAGGATCTTGCTGACGTTCAGTCGCTGCTGGAGGAGCTTGGCTGCAATGGCCACAGAGTTGAAATAGCAGAAGCCCCTGTTATATCAATGAATGGAAAAGGCCAGAAAAAACAGAAGAGAGAGGCAGTGAGTGAGTGTCAGAAGAGAGAGCGTGTCAGCTGGTGTGCCATGTAGTGTGGCGTGTATGGTGGTGTGTTAAGTGGACCCCCTGGTCTAGTGGATTCTACCATTTCACTAATGACACCATTCACCCACAGAGCTCTGGCTTCACTTCAGAGTGGGAGAGCAGAGCTTTGGCCCGGACCCCAACCCAAACAAAGAGAGAAAGCGAAACACACACACAGCCTCAGCTGGGCCTGGCTTTCACTCACCGCAGCATCGCAACAGCCATCTTATTTAACCTTTTTCCACAGGATCTGTGGAACAATCATTCCATTTAACCTTTATGTAATGAGGCCAGCTCAGGGGAAGGTGTTTCTACAAGAGAGAGGGAAGTGGTAATACGGATCACTTACTGTGCAGGTATTCAAAGCTCAAATGTTGAGCATTTAGTGAAGCTTAGTGAAGCTTTTTCTATTTCTCAGATGAAATTCAACCCCTGAAGTTATTACATCCTAAGGAGTATTACTCTCTAATTACACAAAACAATGCTTACTGGCTGAGGTACTCATTGTTCTTAAGATAGAGAAGTGAGAAAGCCTAGTGTTATTTAAGGGGATAAAGACCATTCCCATTTTTAGCCCACTCCTGAACTCGTCCACTGCTGTCATGACTGAAAGCTGGTTAATATTTTGGCCAGGATGTCCACCTTTGAGCTGGGATTCATTCATAATACAAGGTGCTTTTATGTATGTGTGTGTAAAGGGAATGAAGGGCATTATGCTGGATAAGAACACATTTGAACAAACCAATTAATTACGTGACCACCTTTTCACCAAATTCAAATTAAAATAAAGTATTTCTTCTTCTTGTTCTAACTCAAATATGGCATTAAATGAAATCTGCACTAGAGTTACAGCTACACAACTCAATAATAATACGTTCAATAACAATAAATAATATGTACATGTAATGATTTATTCTCTTTTCCTGTTCAAACATTGGATTATTAAGGGCTATTAATTGGCCATTAGGCTACAGTAGAGTGAATTCCTCACTGTTTCTGCTGCAGCTTTCCAAAAGTGCTTTCCTTAAGCTTAAAATACAACAGAACACCCCAGTCAACAGCAAACAAGCGTTTAAAAGCTGGCTAAGACAGAGTAGTGTATAGGTATATGATGTAGTTTTCTGCATTCGAGAGGAACTGAATTGGGGGGACTCACATGGGGGTGCTCTCCTCAGCATGGTGTCCTGGAGGCCGCACCACAGCAAAGCCGTTCTGTAACCACATATCAACACACAGCTGCATTAGCTGTAACATCACAAACCGAACAGAGACCAGCCTATATATATCTATCTATCTATCTATCTATCTATCTATAATATATATATTTATATCATATTTAACACAGTACAGGTGTGCGAATGGAACTGGCCAATTTTTGCTCCAAACAAGCAATCAGCAAATGGCCCTTTTATTGTTTTTATTTTGGCTGATCTGTGTTGCAATTTTCTGGCATAAATAACATGTATCAGGTAAGTGCACTCGCACTGTATTTGAATCACCTGTACCAAAATGGCAAAGCAAAATTATGCAAAGCTCATTGTGTTAAACAGCCAGTTGCCTTTTTTATGTAGCACTTCATTTGATTCATGTTATTTAAATAGGCAACTGATTTTTCATTAATGACTTTAAACAGCAAATAACAGTTTAGGAGATGGAAAGTTTTGTTCTGACAGCAGCGATATTCAAGTCATTTTCTTACATTCCAAACACACTGAAATAGTCTAAATAATCTGTAAATCTTTTCAGGTGCAGAAGAGCAGATTTCTTCTTCCCCTGTGGCCCAGTCTCTTTTAGGAATTACATGGAATGTTTTTTTTTTTTACTAGAACAGTAGAAAGTATTTTAATTTATGTAATTTATGTCTGATATCACAGATTTTTTTATAATTCAGATCACAGCACCATCTCACAATCTCATATTTAAAAACAAACAAACAAACATATATTTACTATTATTGTTTCTCTCACCCTAGTATGACCCTTCTGACTGTAAAAGCCATATGCACAGCTCTGAGTTAATCATTTTTCCATTTAGGATGAATGGGTCAGTGCACTGTCATATTGTGAATGCCACTTTAGCATATGCAGCGGTCCCTGGGGTCCACTCGCAGTACTGAGGCCTCTGAGTCACTGCTCGCAGATCAGTCCCCTCAGGAATACTGAAAAATGCTGAAGAGTGTTAGCCACTGCTAATGCCCTGACCCCAGGCTTATACTCTCCACTGACTCCCCAGCCTAATGATGTTGAAGCAGCTGCACTGCACTGTTTTCCTACCTCACTCCAGAGGATATCACTTTAGTCAGAGACAAAAAGGGAGGGAGTGGGGAAGACCGAGAGAGTGAGAGAGGGACTTAGACTACACATCGTTCTCAGAGGTGTCTTTAGTGCGCAGGGCTGGGCTGGAGGGTTGTGCTAAAGCATGGTGCTATGGAGATCTATTTTTGAGTGTGATGATTGGCAGGAGGCAGGATGTTATGCTGAGTGAGCGCTGAGACTCATACATTCCCTCAAGGTTGGGTTACATTCAGGAGTGTTTGTGTTTGATTGAGATTATGTTGCTGCTGGGCCCAGGGATTAGTAGAGTCACATGGTCTCTCTCTCACACACACATACACACTCTGATAAGGCAAATAACTCCTCTGAGATAAGAACAGCAAATACTAACCCTACATTAAAGCCCCAGGGAACCTAAAAGTGCATTTTCTTTTTAAGTATGTTAATCTTGCTTTTGTGGGCACACAAAATACATGTATAAAGTATGCCCTAAGAACAACGTACCAGTGTACAACAAAATAACCAATGTATTTAATAAAATTTCTCCTCCTTTGATTTCCTAATCTTGGGTACAGCTTGTGTAAGCAGTATACTCACTGATCACAAGGGTGATGTGACTCGTCCCACCCACACAGCTTTGACATAACTACAAGTTCCCCCTTGGTCTCTCTCGGTACGAGTCAGACATTTTCAGAGCGAAAGCTAACAACAAAGTGAAAGCTATCCCAGCAAGCATAACAGATCTAGCAAGCTAGCTCATCTGTTTGTTACGCGTTTGTCCGTTCACCTGGTCATGCTAACACACAGTGTGTGTACATTCCCTGGATGTACATCCAGCTGTAAAGTGAATGAGAACTTTACCTTCCATAAGGTGTCGCCACATAAAAGCTGGATGATTTATTCAGTGAGCCGTGGACACAGTGGGACCCACAACACAACCTGCTATGTAGTATGTTTCACTCATTTCTCCCTCTGCATGTTGTGTTTATTGTGTTTACCTCTGTTTCAGTGCTCCAAATTTCAATCAGTCACACTCATTTGAATATTAAGACCAAGCCCAGACAGTTCTGATAGGTCTGATCAGCAGTGTTTTATTATATTTCTATTTTTTTCACTCAAAACTGGCTGGATGTTTAATATAACACTATTTTGTATCATATAGACCAATTTAGCATTTTACTCTGTGTTTCTTGGGGCAGCTTTTTGGACAGTCAAAGAGACTGATCTCTAAACACTAGTGTTTCATAAATTAGTACAAATTCCACAGTGTCAGAAGTTGTACATGTGTGAGATAGACAGCATAAAGACTGAGTATAAAAAAGTATAAAAAAAAATAGAGTTGTATGAATATTTCACTGTTGGAATGTAACAGTAGACATCAAATATAAATTATGTAAAACTGTAAAAAGCTCTTTGGATGTACAACGGAGGATGAGGACGATCTTACCTTTAACTCTCCAGACGCCACTTTAAACACCAATTCCACCACAGAGCCAACAGCCAGGCGAGCCGCACTGGACGAGTGGACCTCGTTCCAGATAGTGTCACTGTCCACCTGTTCAAACACACTCAGAGTTAAATACATATGTATGCACATGGAGCAGAGTGTTTGAATACAAACAAAGTGAGTGGTTTCTTCGGTTAAGGGAGGTGTGAGAGATGCAAATCAGTGTGTGACATCTCTGACATCACTGACACATAGAGGAAAATCAAAACAGCTCTGCTGCTACTGAGACGTTGTGCCATTCATCGAATGTTCTGTGCCATTTGTCTCATTCACTGAGTGGTAAATGACCACAGCACAGTGAGCAAAGGTGTGATATTTGCCTGGGTTGACACCACAGTAAACGGTACTGACTACAGTATTTACACAACAGAAGCAGGAAGGTATTTCTAGAGTCTCCACACAAGTCAGTAAACATTTTGTAAACAGGGCTTTGAGTGCTCAAGAAGCAAACTGAGAAAAATCTACAAACTCTAAAGCAGAAACTGTGATTGGATGAAGAGGAGAGATCACATTAAATCACACAGAGAAGCATTACAGAATGACTCCATCACTAAAGAGAACACAGTTCTACTGCTCCACAGACCAATGCCGGGGGGTTTATACCCCTCTAGCTGACCTTATGCTCATGTGTAGCTGCTCCAGTGTGTCCCATTCACTTGGCATGCTTTTCTATGAAAATTATGCCTGTAGCTGAATTCACTGATCAGAAAGTGTCTGGATACTTTTGGACACATTGCACACGATACAATAGTACAATATGGACACCACAAACAATAACACTAAACAATTTATGTTTTTTTATTTTAGAAAATCAAGAATTTTGGACGAATATATAACCATATCCTTTTTATTAAAGGCCCACTTAGCAGAAAACTGAATTTCTGAAAAAACTGAATTATAAAAGAGCCTGATGCAGTATAAAAAAATTTCAAAATGTACCATTCACTTGCCAGTCCATACAATTCATATATGGAAACTAGGCTTGCAAAAACAGCCTGTTTTGAAATCACTGTTTTTGTGATGTCACAAGAATCAACTCATTTACATATATCTACCTATTCAGCCTACAGCAGTTTAGGTCCACCCATTCATACTGAAATACTGAGGAGTGTTTCAGCTCTGAGTGATTTTTCAATAAGCCACAATACAGGGCAGCCAATCAGAATTAAGCTCATTTACATATCTGTTTTACAGGGATAAAGAGATGTTGGAAAAAGGGTGATGTAAAAATAAATTATGATCATTGTTTGGTACATTAAACTACACAAAGCTATAAGTGGAGAAAAATGAAATAAGAAAAATGTTTGATATGGTATTAGAATTGATCCTAACATTCCAAGACGGATGCAACTGAATCACCACCTTAAGACTGATTGATCATGATGCATTTTTACACCTCTAACACAACAGCCCACCCACCCACCCGCAGAACTAGGAGTGTTAAGTGTCATCTCACATTGAGGCATGTATTTATGTCTGTGCTGTGTCTGAGAGGCAGCAGAGCACAGGAGAACATGGGGGCATTTATTCAGTGACATGAAGGATAAACATTAGAGGGTTAAACCTGACCGGAGGAGTGTGTGTATGCGTGTGCGTTATCCAAGAGTGGACACAGACAGAGAACATTCATTCATCAGTCACTCCTCATTATTCCAACGCACGCCTGCCCTACACACTGCAATTACTCTGCCCTGGACCATGAACTCTCTCTCTCTCGCTTTCACACACACACACACACACACACACAAACACAAACACACACACACACACACTATATATATTACATGTCTACACACAGACACACACTTCACACCAGAACAAAGCTGAAACTCAGGCTGTAGTTCACGTGTGCAGTTCAACAGGTGCTCCAGCAAACAGTAAGAGCACAACCAACCATCATCAAATAACATAACTTCCCTATTACATCAGCATAAGCTTATAGAAATACCCCAGTATTTTTCAACTTTATCTCCATCTACGACATCTGTACCAAACGATCAATTACCATGCACAATAATTTCAATGTGCTTTTTTGCTCAATAGAAAAGATCAAAACGTCACTGAGTGAAAACATGCTTACAAAAGAAGTCAATGGGCAGTTGCCTCATCACCTACCCACTGACCTCTGCTATAAGCACGTTTTGAAGCACCAGCACTTCTGTTCCTTCCCTAAGTACTGGGAAACGTGTTGAAATGATCATCCATGGTAATACAGATGTGATCGAAAGTTCAACAGGTGCTCCAGCACAAATCAAGATACAACCACCATCAAATACATTTAACCTCCCAATTAGCAGGCCTTACTTAAAGGAGAACACTAGCATTTCGCAACCTGGTCATTACGTACAACAGGGGTATTCAACTAAAACTAAGGTCCAGTTACGTCAAATGTCTTGCTTACAAAGGTCCAGATAAACAAACTAACCTAAGTGAATGACAGTTCTTTACAATAACAGTTACTTTAAATGCTTAAACATAAGTGATTGTATGGCTATTGGCAATCGTTGGGGAGCCGCTGGACAACCACCATGTTGTATCTATCATGTTGAGCTTTGGCTTTATTTTATTCATCCTCAGAACTGAATGTTGTCAGTAGGTTAATTAAAGAAAAATGTAACTTATTTCACAGTGGCATTCAACGTATCCAATTTTGCCTAGCACAACAGACTCTGAACATAGTGGTTTTGAAATGGAGGGAACTGTGATTGATTTTAAACTGTTTTCATCAACTTTTCTTTTTCTAACAAGCCATGTTGTCACTTCACTACCAGAAATAGTAAATTAAAACTCTACGAAACCATGTTAAATTATTTCCTTTCTGACTTGATATCTAGCTCTGTAGCTAGCTGCCTTCGCCTTCATCGTAAATGCATGTGATTTGATAAACTGCAGCACAGAACTACTACAGAAGTCACGATGGTTCATGTTCAAGTACGCCACAGAAATAGGACGATGTTTTTATATAACGTTAATTGAATTTGCTACAGAATTTTTTTTCATGTGCTCGGTTCGGTCTGCTGAAATACTTTACTGGGACCGCATTCAGTCTGCAGTCTGCCAGCTGATGGTCCCTAATCTACAGTATATGTAGCATATGGTTGACTACCATGGACAAGAATGCCTACCTATTGGCTTCTATTATAACCATGTTTTGAGGCTACAGGATTTCTGTATCTATACTAAGTAGAGGTAACGTGTTGAAGTCATTGTTTATAGTAGCATTTGGGCACGACTAGTTTTACATGGATAGGTGGGGTAAGGCAATTTCACCACAGGACATCTGTAATGTTCATAACATGGGATAAGAAGTCTCAGTACACATTACAAAGAAGGAAAAGGCTACTCGTTTTATGGACAGCCTTCACTCCAAAGTGTAGAAATTATTAATTTCAGTTGTTATTTTGTTTATCTCGGTCATCTATATTGCTGTCTTCAGTGAATGCGATGTGTCACTAGAATTGTCTTAGCAAAGCTTGAGAATTTACAGCCAGCAGCCAACATCACTGCCTTAAATCAAACTTTTTTTTTTTTTTTTTACATGTTTTTTACATGACATTTTGCAAGTTTTAATGCTTAGAGATGTTCACTTTAAGTCAGGACAATTCATACTGGCTTTATTTGTAAGAACACAAGTGACAAGCTCTTCCATACTTAAGAAAACAAATTTTCCACAGAAAAGATTTTTACCAACATGTTGATTCATACAGGATTCATTTAACATGTCATATCACATTTTATACGGTAAAAGTTGCCCAAACCTGATGCAGGAGCACACACTTAACATAGTGGTCACCTTCCTGCAAGGTATGGTCCACCTTCCTGCAAAATTCAGCTCCAGACGAAATCGAACACATCTGATTCTACTAGTTACACGGACAAATGATCTGGCTCAGAGTTGGAAGTGAACCTTTAGGAAGGTAGATCTCCAGGAACAGGGTGGATGATCACATCTTTAATGCCCTCCAACAAACCAGAAACTGTGAATGAACTCACTTCACCATTGACAGTCTTGTTGTTTTAGTGTGTACAGAGTGCTTTAATGCTGTATGCAGGTCAGGGTGGTTGAAATCTCTCCGGCCGGCCGTGAACAGGCCAGAGTCCCACTGGGCCAAGCCTGGGGCTCCCTCTCTGCATACATATTCTCCAGCAATTTATGAATTTTGCTTTCAATGGCATGAGTGCTCAAGGGCAGCGTAAAAAAATATAATAATAAATGCAGCCTTTCAAGCTGGGCCAAGAATGACTCTGTCACGAATTACGAGCCTGTGGTGCATTTACAGTTTAAAAAAAATAAATAAATAAATAAAAAGAGAGCAGAGACAGAGTGCAAGGTTGTGAGACTGGAGAGAATGGAAGAGGCACACTGGCTGTCAAACGTTTGTGGACACCTTACTTGCTGCTGAAATATGAATTTTCTTGCAGTTCCTTTACAAAGTTATGAAAAATAGCTGATTTTCCAAATGGTGTGAACAGCATACTTTTGGCAGATTGGAGTAAGGTCTAATAAACTGATTAAGAAATCAGATGAAGAGAGCTGGATTGCAGCTCAGTAACCCTTACTCAGATTTCTTTTGGATTTCTCAGTCTGTGCAGGTGTGAAAATAGACTGTGTTACCGGTAATAAGCAAGCAGCGTTTAGCACAGCACCTGCAAGATGCCAACAAAACACTTTTGGAGCTACGCTGAAACCAACTACATGTTCGATTTGAATATTTTTAGAGATTTAAATATTCTTCGTCTTCTAGATGATGTATGTTCATATTTTCAGGTAAAGTGGCGCAATGTTTTAAGAGTTTTACCTTCACGTCACGTGAAGTTACGTCACATCGTCTTCTGTGAGTTCATTTGTTGGCTGCAAAGCAGGAATCTGATTACTTCCTGAATCATGTAGACCCTGAGTTTCCCCATTATCTGATGACTCAAGTGCATATAAGTGTGTTAAATTACTGACAAAATCTGATTTTCTGCAGTTATCAGATTATTAAGTGCATGTAAACACACGCAATGATCTGATAGTTTTCTTTTGTAAACTATTGTTAAAAGCACATATTTGAAACTCTCTTGGCCCAAAGGTGCCAAAAGAGCTTTGTTTATTACCAAAGTAGAGCTGCCCCTAACGTGCCACAAACATCTACATGTGTAATACTGTTTTCCTAAAAAGAGAAAGAGAGAGAAAGAACGAGAGAAAGTGAGAGCGAGAGAGACCCCCGATTAAATTATGCATTTTGTCGAAGTAAAAGTAAGTTAGCACATTCTCTACAGAGAACAGATTTCTGCACATTTTAATGCACAATTACTGTGTATTTGCTCAATTTAAAATACTGGAAAAACAAATAAATCCTGTTCAAAAGATATGGCACATTTAATGTTTGTTGTATTTTTTAAATATATGTTACATTCAATAAATAATGTGTGTGAGAGAGAGAGAGAAAGAGAAAAAAAGAGAGAGAGAGAGAGAGAGAAAGAGAAAAAGAGAAAAAGAGAAAAAGAGAGAGAGAGAGAGAGAGAGAGAGAGAGAGAGAGAGAGAGAGAGAGAGAGACTACCAGATCAAGCTTAGTTGCGCAAAGGGCTATGTATTGAGAATGTGTGTGTTTGAGCAAACGCAGGCAATAAAAAGTGTGTGATGTGTGTGAGAGAGAAAAATGCTCTTAACGGACAGAGATCGGGGGGAGGAGGGGGGTTTTGAGGGGGTGAGTGTAGAGCGTGTTGGAATGAAGAAAGGCAGTCTCTCCTGACTCTGACAGGCTAATTTTGGGAGCGGGGGCTCGCTGTGGAGACGCAGGAAGACAACAATTTTGTTCCATTTCCATAAAAGAGTCCAGAAACCTTCTGTTTCTCACCAAGCAGCACCAAACCTCCTGCAGCAGCCTGCCATTCATCAACCCGCAAACAACAGCGCTGACGGGGGTTACCCTGCACCCCTACCCCATATCTCACCCACACACACACTCAACCATTCACCTTCATACATCTAGCACCACCATGCCGCACTCACACAGACATGTTCTGACATCTAGATGTACTATTTCCAAAATATTCCACTGGTGTTACACAGGTAAACCTGGGCAGGTTTCGTTCCTAAAAGCAGGGCTTATATTATAGAACATTACTGCATTTTCTCTGCAATTGCAATATTGGTCTGAAAAATTGCAGTTAGATATTTTCCCTAAATTGTTCAGCTCTACTTTGCCTTACACTGACCAGGTCCTACTGATGTAACACGTTAGACACATTAACACATGATTTAGATCACTGAGCCTTCAGAAGTATCTGAATATGAGCAAAACAAATGAAGAATCAGTACAATAATACTGCAGACATGTAGTCAATCCCTGTTGTTCTATTGTCATAAACATATTACTATCAGTTACTTTTGAATACTATTCTCATATCTAATTGTTACAAAGTTAGAGCTTCCAGTCATTTGGTCTGTACTACATGTATTCAAAGGTTAAAATGAAGACAGAAACTTAATTCCTCAACTTTTAAGATGAATCAGCCATAAAACACATCACCAAGATTATGAATTACAGTCCAATACTAACACCGTCCACTCAGCACTGCAAAGCCATCCATCCATCCATCCATCCATCCATCCATCCATCCATCCATCCATCAATCCGTTCATCTATCAGTTCATTCCTCCATCCATCCATTTATTCTTTCCGTCCATTCATTCATCAAATCAATCCCATCATCAACTCATTCATCCGTTCATCCAGTCATAAATTTATCTATTTGTCCATCTGTCCACCCATCAATTCATTCATCCATCCACCAATTCATTCATCCCTCCATCAATTCAATCATCCATCTATCCATCCAGTCATTAATTCATTTGTCCATTCATACATTGGTGCATCCATTCATCCATCCCATCATTCATTCATCACACACATTCAAAATGCAGAGTCTAGACCAATCACAACACACCTTCTCTTAACACACACACTGCATTTCAGAATGCAAAGACCCCCCCTAACAGTGTTCTCCCTTTCTCTCTCTCCCTCGCTCTCTCTCTCTCTCTCTCTCTCTCTCTCTCTCTCACTCTCTCACACACACACACACACACACACACACACACACACACACACACACACAACCACCCCCATATTCACTGCACACAGCTTGTTTATAGAAAACATCTGGACACAATTACCCGCTCGGCGGAAAGCACAGCAACAGTTTTTGTTGCCGCTGGAGTTTTGGGGGAGGGGGGCTCGCAGGAGAACAAACAGCACCATTATTTACACACTAGAATAAAAGAGGGAGAAAAACTTACCCCAATACCACCACAGGGTAACCTCACAAACATGGGTGTCACAGAACCTAGAGAGAGAGGGAGGGAGAGAGAGAGAGAGAGAGAGAGAGGGAGAGAGAGAGAGGGGGGGAGAGAGAGAGAGAGAGAGAGAGAGAGAGAGAGAGAGAGAGAAATCTTTAAATGTTAAGACATCTGATTTTTCTTTCATTTTATCATGTTTGTGCTGTTAACGTGATTGTAGCACTCATAAAAAACAAAATTTCACAGCTTTTTTTTCCCCGCTTGAACCACTGTCATCACACTCTTCCTCTCCAGTCAAAAAAAGCCTAATGTAAAGTCCCAGTGCACACTTTCTGACCACTGTTAAGCATCTCTCTCTCTCTCAGCTGCTGTATGAAGCCTCTGGTGCACTCAGAGTAGCAGTATGGGCTGAAGAGAGTGGAATCGGCGAGCTCCAGTGAGTGAGTGTGCATATGCGTGCATGTGTGTGGGTCAACTGCAGTACAGGACCTGCTGTTAAACCATGCGTGGGGTGTGTTTAATCGCTGAATGAAAGCACAATGTTGAAACGCTGTTTAATCGCTGAATGAAAGCACGGCAGGCTGAAGTCATGGAAAACTGCGTGCCGGGCAGAAAGGTGGCGGTGGCCTTGATGGACAGCTCAGGGGCAGATTCAAATCATGGCCACTGCTGATGAAAGGCAAAAAGGTGGGACTGCTGCTTCTGTGGGGGTGGGGGAATTGGCCCATGCATTGTGAGTTGAAGGCAAGAGACACAGTGCCAAGACACACTAGAATCATTAAAGGATGAAAAAAAACAATGTGAGTGGTCACACACACTCACTGAGAGTGACATCATAAAACCTTTTATATTCACAGCTCTCAGGTCATACTAAAACTGAAAGACTAAATCATTGTGTGAACGCTTCATGATAAATGTACCACTAGAAAGTTCACAATTTCTTGGAATACAGTCTCAATATTATTAATTATTTTTATATTAAAACGTCTGTTACGTTAAAACATAAGAATTTTCTTTGCTTGTTCTGAAAAGATACCATTTATCAGGTTTTGTTCTGACAGATAAAAATGTAAAAACATCGATAGGTTGAGTTCAGGTAATTAGGCAAGTTTAAAGTCTCAAATTGTGTGTAAATTGTATGTATTTTATGATTTGATGTGTGCCATTCAAAGCTTGTGCTAACGTGCTGGGGTATAGTTCAGGGTTTGTGCAGGAAGTGGAATTGAATTGAACAAAACAAAACAAAACAAAACTCAAAATACTGGATTTATAACAGTTATTTAACAGTTAATTCCAACAATACAATCTGATTGGTTGAGAAGCATGGCACATCATTCTGCCGAACATCGAATGCTAAGTAACCACTCGCTTTACTCTGTAGCTGTTACTGTGTTTCTACTTTAGCACATCTGAAAGCAGAAAATGCATTAGACACATTAGATAAATTCTATAGGGTAATATTTGACCTGCAGCCTGTTTGGTCAGATTCTGAAGAAGAGTCAGCAGGACAACATTAGATTCCAAACCTGCTGTTTGACCTAAGCAACTAAACAAAATGGAATTAGCCTGAGCTGAACAGAAAGCAATTCAGCAAAAAAGACAGGGTAGAGTCAGCAACAGAACCACCAGAGGGGTTTAACAGCACGGTTGGGGTGACTGACTGTTCTCGCCTTCAGCTCTCGTCTGCGACAGAATCACAGCTATGATGTTACTCGTGATAAAACACTACACTCTCAGAAATAAAGGTACTAAACTATCCCTGGGCCAGTCCCCCTCTTGTCACTGGGGTGGAACCCTCACGGGTACATCTCAGTACCTTTAGTCAGGGAACATATCTGTACCATAATCCACTGAAATGATATTTTCTAAGCAGTGTTGACTCCACACACCCCGTCTCGTCTCCAGGCTTTTTATTTTATTGCTCTGTTTTAAAACATTAAGTTATGAAAAGATACAAATACATACTTTTCAACAAACTTATTTAGGGCAAACACTTGGGCCTTAAAACCACAGTTGCACCTTGGATGGTAAACTTACATTGTTTGTTCTTTGATGAATGAAAAATGTACCTGCACAGAACCTTTATTTCGAACAGTGTACCTCTTGTGCTCTATTACTTAAATGTAAGTGAACAATAGGTGCATCTTAAAGTAGCTGAATTCACTAACGAGAAGGGGTGTCTGGGTACTTTCGGACATATGATGAACATACACGATCCCACGTCGTGACAATATATTAAAAACACATGGTGTTCATGTGTCTTACTGTCTAGTTTCGGTCTCAGTGGGTTGGTTCCGTAGAGCAGTACATGGGCTTCAGAGTGGACCGTCTGCAGCTCCTCCAATGTGGCCTTCCTGCCCCGGATACACTGCAGAGACAACAGAAGCAGAGAAAATAGTCAGGAGATGTACACCCCTTTCCTCTCAAAACAAAAGAATGAAAAAACAAATTATAATATCTCTTTACCACAAATACAGTCGTCCAGACACTGCATGTCGGAAGCTTATAGTCTCCGGTTAACATTATGCCAACTGAGTGCTTGAATAATTACACATTTGCTTCAAACTGTGTCATGATATTGAGTAATTTTAAACAGACTTATGTCTAGTTATGTGGTTTGACACTGTGAGACATGCTGTTATGAAAAACAATTGGACAGAAGTACATTACATAGCTAAAAATAGCAGTAGCAGCAGCGCTTTTTCCCAAGATTTTGCCAATTTTATAGATAACAGCAAGGCAGAAACAATATAAAGTGTATTTGAGATTCTTTAACAAACTGACGTGGATTGAGGCAAGTGAATGATGAATTAGTTAAGCTGATGCTAAGTACTGGAGCAGAAGCTTCATCTCTTATTAGCTACATTAACCTTGCAGCTCCAGCAAAACTAAAAAGTAAACTTTAGACACATTTCTTTACTGATCCACTGTTTGGAGTAAGAGGAAAATTCTGTAAATTAGATCTTTTGCCAGACTACTCCTTTAAGGTCCATCCTAAGGGTTGCAGTAGGTGTTAGCACTGGGCATTGAGTTTCAGCATTTGGAGGATTACTAGCCTCCTGAGTATGCTACAGCTGCAGAGCAAGAAAGCCAGAGTTGGGAAGCTGCTGCCACTGCGGCTCTGCAATAACCTGAGCTTTCCCTGCTTCAACAGCAATGGGCCGCCATGGCAACCAGCCAGGCCACAGGGGTCCACTGAGGAAGGAGCCACTCACCTGTGTGAGTGTGAGTGTGTGTGTGTGTGTGTGTGGTGTATGGAAGTTAAGGTGACACCTGCAGCAGGGGAGGGTGTATTAACTCTCAGATTTAACAGGAGGGGCAGTTAAAGGGGGCCCTCAGGGGCCCAGGCTGAGGCTGGCGGCAGCTTGAAACGGCCCCACTCTCTTTAAGGGCCCCCCTGCTGTAGATTAGGGGGTATTAGAGTCATGACTGCCTTTAATTGAGCCCCAATTCTGTGTTCCCATCGCGCAGAACAATAAACAATCTCACAGAAGAGCTAACTACTCCCACTTCCCATACCACGCAGAGAGAGAGAGAGAGAGAGAGAGAGAGAGAGACACTCGCTGTTGTTGCGGTGCCTGTTTACTTGTTTGTTTGTAGGAAAACAGAGACGGCAGCTATGCGACTGGCTCTAAAAGCTCTGACGCAATGGAGCATAGAGCAGGAGAGGGCTGAGGTGGGAGAGATTAGATCCAGCTAGGGCCATTAGACATCATTCCAGACTTAGTCACAGTGATCTGCATGATGCCACAGCAGAAGAATGAACCACTGCAGGTGTCCAGGCTGATAACACCAGCATTGAGGGGTATTTCACATGAGTTTCTCCATTCGGTCAGATAACTTCAGATGGCACAGTACCACTTTTAATTTTCCAAAACTAATACTGATACTGAACCCTTGAATATATGCTGATACTGATCTGATTTTGTTTTCTTTCAAAGCTACAAATAAGCAATTTTGTAAGTGAAGCACTTCACATAAGATTGCCTTCTTAAATTATCATGCTCAGAGTGCTAAACAGCAGGAAAAAATACACTGTTAACAACTTACTAGCATAAACAAGTAACTTTTTTGGATAATTTTTTTTTCAGGAATAATAATAAAAAAAACATCAGTGTGCAAAATAAGACTATGTAAGTTTAAGTGTAAGTGTTTTTAGTGTAACACAGCTAACATAAGAGTAATGAATAGCTAATGTTAGGTTACCTGTGGCTACTGTTATTATGTGACCTTTTAAAATTCCCTTTATGTTGTGTTAAAAACAATTCTGTCATGCTTCAAGCTAGATTTATGGAATTTGATCAGATTTGTTCTTTTTTTCTCTCCAACACCCTATCCAGCAATTTCTTCAAGTATCGGCCCAATAGCGATAAGGCCAGAGCACACTGGACGTGCCGTGTAGCGTCTAAAAATTTGAAAGCATTGTTTTAATACAGCTGCACATACTACCACTGACATCTGGTGTCAGCGTTTGCTGGCACTTGACTCCTAACACTACTCAATTTCTGTGCCAGCGTGCACTACTCAGCATTTTCCTATTACTGTGTGAAGTTAAACCTGGAACGAGACCACAGAAATCACTGGTAGGTGACACGGTTTGTAATTTACATTAAGAGAGACAGACACTGAAATATTTACATCCAAAAAGTGTTTTTTTTTTTTTATTATTATTTTTACTGTGATGCATTCTAGGTGGTATAGCTGTGCTTTGTACAGCTTCTGTCCAGTGTGCTTAACCCAAAAGTCAGATCTGTTCAACAGGATTAGAGCTAGTGCATATTTCTATTTGGAGCAACTTCAACTTTTGGCTTAAATGATCTGGAAAGAAAAACTGCTTTGGGAAATCCCTGCTGAAGCGCTCATCTAGGGTCTGATTCAGACTTTCGAAACATACCGAATAGATTTCTGTGGAAGAAGGAGAGCTAAAACTGGAACATCTTCTGCTAATCTGAGTAGATGCGCAATCCATAAACAGTCAGTCTCTCTGTGTGTCTCTCTGATACACTAAGCACACTCAATCATCTCCTGGGTGTGCTCTTCATGTGAAGTGGCCGCAGCCCAAGTTTACTCAGAGCCTTAATAACAGAATGTGTTGCAATGTGGATGGTTTCACAGCGCCCTCTGGAGCTCAGAAACACTGCAGCCACTGCTGCCATCAGGAATTTGAAGTCAGTTAACTATTCTAGAACATACTTGGATTTCTCTCTGTATTCATCTGTGAACTGATTCATCTAATTTTAGCGTTTTACTTCGGGTGTGTTTGGTACCTCACACTTGCCGCGCAGTCCGGTCTCCTGCAGTCTGGACCAGATGCTCTGGATGCGGCCTGCGTGCTCCGGGTGGGTGTTGGTGTTACCACACATACACTGGTGCTTCTGCATTAGAGTGTCATACACCAGCCCTGTGAACAGAAACTCATATTTACTCATCATCAACATCATCAGTCTGGATAATGAAAGGATTTACTGAAAACTGATAATGTGTTCAATGTTTAACTAATTAATATGTGCCTCAAGATTAGTTACTTTGGCCACAGTAAAATGGATCGGCATGGAGAACTGAAGCTTTGTGTTCTATAGTTTACCTATCACTGTAATAAAGGAGCATTCACAATGAATTTACTGTACTGAATTAACTGCACTTGCATCTTTTTTTGTGACTGTTACAACCCTCAGTTGGTTCGATTCCTATATTACTATGTTTACATTTCCTTATTTAAAATGGCAATTTGTGTCACAAAAACAATCTACAAATTTTCAGCTTGAGAACATTTTTATTTATCAAAATAAATGTTATGACAGAACAGAGAATCAACATTATTACAGGAGAAAAATTGATTAAAAAGCAGAAGTAGCCACTTTTTAGTCACATTAAAAAGTTTAAGGCAGCCATCTAAAGAAATGTGAAACTTTTTTTTTTAAATGACATCTGTCTTTATGTCTTTCATACACACAAACAAATAGAAAGGTGGAGATGAAGGTTTCTTTGGAGCTCTTCACTCAGCTACGAGAGCCAGATGAGCGCGCACACACACACAGATATATATATATATATATATATATATATATATATATATATATATATATATATATATATATATATATATATAGTGGAGGTAATTCACATTGAAGTGAAGGCCACAGTGAGGTGTATTATATGTGTATATCTGAGCAAACACGAACAATGAAAAATAAAGCCAGTAAAAGCTTTCAGTTCAAATAACCAGAAGAGATCTACATAAATAACCCCCTAAAACACTGAAAAATGAAAGCTATGTTGTCGTAGGAGGCTCACTTTAGACGCAGTACATCACAGGTTTGTTTTACACCCACACCAGAACACTCTGCAACCTGGCTTTGTTTTTTAGTAACAACAAAGGCTTTCAACCATCACCACAACTTGGCACAATCCAGCAAGTGTAGATTAAGTGCTGAGGGCAACCAAAGTCCTTTATTACTGAGTATCTGCAGTTACTCAGCCCAATCTGATATTTATACTTGCAGTGCACATTTCTATTACAATAAAGCTGGCAGTATAATTTAAATAATAAAAGAACTAAACAAGATCAAACTACCATCAAGCACGCTGTCACAAGTATACTTAAATAAAACTCTGAGCATGACTTTTGGACTTTCAGCACTGCTAGAGGTTCATTCGGTGCAGTGATGTAGGCAACCATGTGACTTGGACCATTCGTAGTCAGGGGGGTGTTTCGGATAGCACCATATGAACTCAAAACACCACGTTGTTTTGGCCAAGCACACTTTTTTATTGCGATGCATTGTTTTTGTTTGAAGTATACCGTCGGCTTAAGTAAAATCCAGTCCAGATTAGGTAAAATATGCAAGGCTGCTGATTAAACAATTACAGTAAAATTCTTTCAGTTTTTGGTTTGCACATAATGTAACACACTGAACACTCATGTTTTATTTATTCTGGCCTAAATTTTTTTAAATTACCATTTTACAGTGTCTTGAATGCTCTATTTTCATATATCACACTGCTCTAACAAGCAAAATATTTAAATTCTTGATTGTTCGAATCTATTTTGCTCATATTTTACATGCAGCTAATACAACCATGTTTGACAACAGAACTGAAATCAGAAAAGGCTCAATACAGCCAACACTGCATTAAAATACGACTGGTTCTAGTTCTGATTTTTCAGATCGAATAATAACAAACACAGTAACGTGATAATATATGGTGAGAATAAAGCTGGACTCACCAGTGGTAAACCGTGGTTTAGCCGGCGGTTCCTGCACCACGATAGGGAAGGTGGCCGAGGCCGGGGACGACTGCGCTCTGGACAGGGGGCGATGTCCAGGGAATGTGACAGACAGGCCAGCAGCCTCCATCGACGCCTGATAGTTTCTCAGCTGATGGATCCTCTGTTGCTCCAACAGGAGAGCCTGCTGCTCAGGACACGCAGAAAACAAGAACATGAACACACGGAATACCATAACTCAAACAAAACTGTTGAAACTGTTTGAAAGAGAGAAGCTCAAGGCATCTAACGAGAAAGTCTAACTTCAGAACGAGGTGCAGCTCCTCAACAATACTCTGCAGTTACAGAAACCAGCCACAAGGTGGCAATGACTACACACTTGTAAAATGATCGGCCCAAAACAATTCTTACAGTTAGTGAGAGATAATAGGTTGAAACTGAAAGTCAAACGGATTTTCAAGAAGGAACTCCAAGATCTCTCTTTCATTATTCATAAGCAGTCATAATTTCCAGTTACTTATATCAGCTCTAAAAGACAACAGGTCAATCTATTGGATAAATTCATGCCTCAGAAGAGAATTTCCCTTCTAAATATACAGTTTCAAACGTTTGGGCATGCTTATTCATACAGGAGTTTTTCCCTTTACTCATTTACATACTGTCATATGCAAAAGTTTGAACAAAAGACATGTTTTTGTATATTTAACATATTGGAAAAAAATAAAATGTGCCAGAACTTTTGCACAGGTCATATATTGTTTTCGATGTTTTCCCTAATATGTTAGCTTCAGCAGTAACACGGCATGAAAAAGCACCAAGTAGAGAATGTGTATATATTTTCAGTAAGACAATCAGCAAAACATGTCATTTGACCAGGGATAGCCAAACTTTTGCATAGGACTGCACTTCTTTGGGCATAATTTAAAAGTCACCTCCTGACAAATTTAAAAGTTTTTTTTTTTTTTTTTAAATCAATAAATATAATTCTGCATGAAATCTCAAGCAGTTCAGCTGATCAAAAAGAAATAATGTATTTAATCAAGTGTATCCAAATTTTTGAGTGATACTATATCTACAAGGCTACACCTCCTAAAACTCTAATGAACGTCTTCTCCTCCCCCCCACCATTCACCCACGGCCAAATCTACTGCCCTCACTCGAGTGGGAGTGTGCTGAGACATGACACCGTGCGTGTATGCGTGTGTGCGTGTTTGTGTGTTCAAGCGTGACTGTGTGGGTGTCTGCATCGCTCTTAGCATAAGCCAACAAACTGTTTTTACAGTGTAGTCCACATGCAAATGGCAAAAAGCGCTTCAAACAAGACTGAGCTTCAAACAAATCAGGTTATCACCTACGCTTTAATACATGACTTTGATTGCCATATAAGAAGTAGTCATATTTATGACTTCTGTATCCTCTTTTGCTCTGACCTGTCTGAAGAGCAGTTCTTGCTCAGCCTGCCTCTCTCTCTGCTGTAGCTCCTCCTCCAGTTCGTCAGGTGGCTCTTGTTTGATGGTGACCCCTCGGGGCAGACCCTCGGCCGGGTCAATTATGGCCTGGTGCTCTCTCAGCTCCTCCTCCGTCTCTTCCGGGTGACTCTCGTGCTGCCGGCTTGGTTCACTGGGCTTAGCCATCATCTACCAAAGCAGAGACCAGCAGCTTAACACTTCAGTATACCACTCTTATACTCCCACTACAATCCTCTATACTATAACTCACTCAGAAGGGACTACAGTATGTACATTTATATGCTGTTACGGTATCTAATCTATAAATTGTTACATAACTTTTATACTTATTTTGATATTACAATTTCATTTCTATAAGAATAGTGACATAATGAGACTAATAAGTTTTGCTTACGCCCCCCTCAACCTCTCTTCCTCTGATGAAAGACATAAATCACTCTAGTCCAGACAGTGTATTACAGCTGTTCTTGTCTAAACGAATGTATAAACAAAGGGAAAATGACAAACAAGATTTACATTCACAGGGTTTGTTAGGACTTGGTCTTTGTCACTTTAAAACATAAGAGTGTTTATTTACAAAGGGATGTAAACATATTAACAGTGGTGATACAGCGAGCTGAAGAGTCAGGAGGCCATGAGAGCTGACCGCTCCCTCACTGAGCCTGGCCAGGATCTATTACTGAAGAGCCAAAAGGTGAAACTCACCACAGAGAGAGAACGATGAGAAAAAGTCTTACAGACACAGAGCAGCAATATGATCTCACAATAACATACACAGAGATCATGTGCTGAGAAACAAGCTGAAGCAACAGGCAAAGCACAGAGAGAAGAGAAGAGAACGGAAGAGAAGAGAAGAGAAGAGAAGAGAAGAGAAGAGAAGAGAAGAGAAGAGAAGAGAAGAGAAGAGAAGAGAAGAGAAGAGAAGAGAAGAAGAGAACTGAGGGGATGAGCACTGGAAAAATGAGGAGTATAAAAGCAAAAAGGAAAAGGGTGGATAAGGCAGGAGAGTAAGAGAAAAGAAGAGAATACAAAATGAAAAAGGAGAAGAGAAAGGGAAAAAAGGGAAGACTTCTATAGTCACTTCTCCATCAACTATGAAGACGTGAGCACTGGAAAAGAGAGGAGAGAAAAGGAAAACTGAGGATAAGGCAGGAGAAGAGAAGAGAAGAGAAGAGAAGAGAAGAAAAGAGAAGAGAAGAGAAGAGAAGACTTCCATAGTCACTTCACCTTCCACTCTCTGTCTGCTTTCTTGAGCAGCTGTGTTCGGCCCGTCGCCACAGCAATCTCTCTCTCTCTCTCTCTCTCTCTCTCTCTCTCTCTCTCGCTCTCTCACACACACAGCCACAGCCACAGACACACACACACACACACACACACACAGCCATAGCCAAAGCTGGCAACAACACGGCCCCCTGGCTCAGAGCCAGGGGAACATCATTGACGTCAGAGCGCTCAGCAATTGCCTCATCTCTGTCCTCTGTTTTCCAAACAAGCTTTGCTATTTTCATTTTTCTTTCTTTTCCCCTCTCTCCTGCTCTTTTTACTTTCTCTCTCTCTACCTTAAAGTAAAAATTCACCATGACTAAACAGCTGCACATCCAAAAAAGTAGAAAAACACAGAAAAACAAAACAGATTAAAGAGTCAGAGTCTCAAAGTGAGGAGATGCATGCAGGAGAGCAGATGAGATAATTATCTCTAATATAAAGTCTACAAATTGTTGTTACAACACCTGACATACACTTGACATGTAGCCTTTATATCAGCAATGTAACAATACTAGGACTGTACTACACAGTACTAATAAATCACTAGTAAATGTGCAAACAGGGTATGTGCGATCATCATCTGGAACATGGCAAAAACATTCATTTAAACATTTTTTCATCCTCTCAGTGAGGGCTCTTAAAAACGCAGAGCTGCAGTTTCTATCTCCGTACGTAAACAGTGGAAATACCAGGGAGGTATTACATTCCTCCAACATCTGCAGAGCGAGGAGGGAGCAAACAGGCCCACTTCCAGGAAGAGCGATGTTTAGTGCAGGGGCCTCCCCTCGTTCCCTCCCAGATCAGAATGCTGCTTCCAAGAACACCACTAATCTATATCATTTTTTTCTATAGCAATTGTGAGGGGGCGTCGTCCACGGACCTGGAGACTAAGCAGCGGCTAACAACACCAGCCACCATCACCAGAGACGCATGAAACACTGCGTCACAGAGAGACAGAGAGTGTGAGAGCAAGAGAGACACAGAGAGATAGATAAATAAATAGATAGATAGAAAAGCTTCACCCGAGGAAAAGACATTTTACGACGTACAGCACAATGAAAAATCATCCATGTTTTTTTGCTCAGGAGCCTCCACGAAGGCCGCAGACCCTCTGGGACAGAGAGATGGGCTTCTATTTGGAGTCACACCTCCCCTTCAGGTCATGGAATTTAAATGATTTAACACAAATTTGGTACAACACACTTATACTAGCACAGAGAGAGAGAGAGAGAGAGAGAGAGAGAGAGAGAGAGAGAGAGAGAGAGAGAGAACAGAACACCAAGAAAGGGAGAAAAATAAAGAAAGAGACAGAGCAAAAGTGAGAGAATGGAGGAGAAACGGAAAAAGAAAGGAAGAGAGGAGAGAGAGAAACACAAAATAAGAGAGAAACGAAAAAGAGAAATAAAGAGAGATGAGGGAGACATTTATTTATTTATTTATTTATTGATTGACTGATTGATTGATTGATTGATTGTCTTAGAGAGTTGTCACAGGTGTAATTCTCTACACCCACACTCATCTCATGACACTGCATCCTCAAAAGCGCAGCACATACACACAGAAACACACACACAGGCAGAGGGCTTCCGGTTTGACCATAACAGGAATGTGCATCCTACTGGTTACCATGGTGACAGAGGGAGCCAAAGGAAGAAAGCAGTTAGAGACCGTGACAATGAAGGAGGGAGGGTGATAGAGAGTGGATGGATGGATGGAGTGTGTGTAATCTACCTTGCTCATATGAAGCTGCTGCTGCTGGAACTGCTGTTTGTGTTTCTCCAGGAACTGCTGGTGCTGCTGCTGGACCACGAGCTGCTGCAGGGCCTGGGCATTCTGAGGCAGCGGCGCTGACTGCGTCCGGCCCAGCGGCCGGTGCTGACGCAGTTTATGGATGGAGGGGGACTGTAGGGGCAAAGCACTCAGACCTGCAGACACATGCATGGCAGAGGTTACATTAAATACAACAGACTTATCAGCATCTCCATATCAATGTGTTCAGAGCATTAGAGCCTTTTACTTTATAAAACAACTTCAACTTTAAAGGAATACTTCAACCAGCCAAGGCATGTTTAATGTTACAGTGAAGCTAATGCTGCTAACAGGGTTATACCAAATCAATTAGCATCATTTAAACTGCATACCTAACTCTCGCCAAACTTCCCTCAAACAGCACTGAGATGTTATGCAAACTCAAACATGCTTATTATTAGGAATGCAAGGTATGGGAATCGTGGGCCGATGCAGGTTCACAATATTTTTCATGTACCAATCTGTTGATGCTGAAACAAATATATTTATAAAATGTCAAAGTTGGAACTATATCCACCTGCATTAGCATTACAGAGAAATATAATATTTATTTCTATACATTCACAGTGCAGTATATTTCATAACATGCAGACATTTCAGTGCAGTAGTCCAGTATCACCTAAACATTCTGCTCTTTCAAAGAATAAAATATCAGCAATCAAATATCAGTTTGAAATATTGGTTAATGCTAGATGTCTGTTTGATGCAGATAGGGGAGGAGCCTATGTTTTTAAAAGAGGCCTTCAAGATGGCTGAAGTAAGAGAGGACGGATCAGTTGTGTTTTTTTTTGTGTGTTTTTAGAGAAAGTGCTTTTGTTTGGTATTTTACCTGCAAACTTTTAACATTTTACAAGAGATCGTTTGTACCACCTGGGGTTTCAAACAGGTAAGAGGGTCGTGCCTATACACCACGTAAATGTGTATTATATCTAGTTCCCTAGGGCAGAGGGTGGGCATCGCCACATATGCTTTTGGTTACTGGCCAGGAAAATGTACAGTAGTTAGCTTTTGCTTCCTTTTTCTAGATTAGCTAAGAACATTTTGTTTCAGCGTATGCAAGTATGGTTAGGTTTTGTTTTGTTCTTTTCTTTGGTGCCGTTCACAGTTTGATTATTCCAGTGTGGTACAAAGTATCATAGCACACCTGTTTTATTGTGGTTGGTTTTAATAAAATGGCTTCAAAAGCTCTACTGGCCTCTTCCTCAAGCTTTTAATCCATCACCACTAATTTAATATTTTAATGCCACATGTTATTGATTCCCCAGCACCCTAGACAAAACGTGGGGTCAGTAACGTGGCATTAAAAAACCGAACTGGTGGTGATGGATTACAAGCTTGAGGAACAGGCCAATAGAGCTTTGAAGCCATTCTATGTCTTACAGTCCTGAAAACTACTGAGGTTACCAATAGCAATGCTGTCTGAGGGATGTGCGTTATGATTTATGGCATGTAGTTCACGTGATGCTAACCTGGTGGCTATAGACTTTAAATGAGGGTCAGGGTTAGCCTAGTAGCTCTAGTGAGAAAAAGGGAAGGGGACAAACTTCAGACATCACAACATGTCTTGGGGGATAATCAACAAAGACCAAGGGCAAAACTGTAAATTAGATTTTTCACTGGACAATTCTTTTAGCATAATGATCATTCAGTACAGGTAAGAAGCAGGTAACCTTTGAACCCTAGCCTAGGTTTTTATGTATTAAACTTAGTAATGACTAGGAATTATTCATTAACTACTATGAAACTATCATGTCCTGGCTGATGATTGACAAAGGCCAAAGGCAAAACTGTAAATTACATTTTTCACTGGACTATTCCCTTAACTTTATTAGTACAATGATCATTCAGATCATTCAGTACAAATAAGAAGCAGTTAATCCTTGAACCCTAGCCTTGTTATACAGTTATTAAACTTAGTGATGACTAGAAATTATTCATTAACTACTATGAAACTAATCTGCATGTAATACAAATCCCTAACGGGTTAACAATGTGAGAATGGTTGCAGTCTGGAATAACCTAGACAGTGAGCCTAAACTGGATCCATAAACAGCAACTAGGCAGTTTAGGCAGATCCTAAGCTTGTTATGTATATTTTACATTCACTGATGAACAAGGTCAGTATCCACTGCCTGATATAGCTCTGAAACGGCCATTACTAGAACAAGTGCACTTCCTCTCGACCCTTCCTAAGTATCATTGTAACAGTGCTGATCTGTGGTAAAGCACAATCTACTCTGTTCTCTCTCTCCTTCTCTCTTTTTTCTCTCTCTCTCTGCTCTGCATTTGTCCTGCGCACTTGCAATATGCTCATTTTAATTATCTCTTGAACAGATGAGGGGGAAGAGAAGAGGTTCACCCCCTCGCTGGGACAGGCATGATACAGCAAAGCGTCAGTCAGAGCAGACAGCAAACTGCGTCAGGGAAGCCCCCCATCCCTTTTCTGCTTGCGAGAAGTATTGACCCTGACTACTGCTGTCAGCCCAAGCTCAGCGGGAGGCTAATTAACACTGTCTATGAGTAATTTCATTAGAATAGAAAAAAAGAGCTAATCTGATGCCAGTGTAGAGCTTAACGTTCATACGGCAGCGTTTAGACTGAAGGCGTGCACCCTGCTATGAGCGTATGGCTCTACATGAAGCGCTCACACTTCCTTTCATCCATTTTTGGTAACGGCATAAGTAAGTTTGAGATTACTTAACAACTCGATACGGTTAAAGCCAAGTGCGTTATGACTTGGGCAAGCAAATGGGTCAGCGTAAGCTAGCATTACTTGTTAGCTATATTAGTCTTTTAGCTCTGGTCCACAACCAAAAAAAGCAATTTCAATTATGTGGTTGACTGATTAACTATATTTGTGTTAGGAGGAAACTGTATAAATTTAATACTGCTGAAACATCGCTTTAAATGGAAATTCCATTTTATCAGAATGTTTGCATAATTAAGATGCTCTCATGAAAACAAAGTCATTTAGAGTGGTTTGATGTAAAATACTCTGTTCTAGAGAATCTTGCAGAGTCAGAATTGTTTGCAGTGGTGGTGATACGAACCAGACATCTGAAGGTGTTTAATGGCTCTAAAAGCTATGTAAGAAATGGTTACAGATACATTTGTCTGATGTCTGAGACATTTATGATAGTCTGGAGTGTTGGACTAAAATGTAATTTTATTAATACATTTAAGACATCAAGGTACATGTAAGGCAGGGGTGGGCAACATGCGGCTCTTTTACTGCCCTGTTGCGGCTCCACAACAGAATTAGATTTTTAGGTAAAAATAAAATAAAGTTCTGCTGGTTGTTCTAACAGTTTTAACAATAAATGGTCTTAAATTCTGTAGTTTTCTGTAGCCTATATCTGCCAATTCACCTTCAACCTTAAAGGTTGGTGCTCAGTCTCGCCTAGCTAAGATTTAGGACGGACAATCAATAATTTTGAGATGAATAAACTAATTTGCACTTATAATCACTCCAGCAGGTTTACTAATACATTTAATCTGCAACAAGAAACTGTCAAACACTAAAAACTTGAGAAGCTGAAGTCAGTTTCTCCACCTTCTTGCTCAAAATTTCCCGCTCCACCTTAAATGGTGCAGCAGTTACATTCTGGCACCTCAGGGACCATTTAAGGTGGAATGGGAAAATTTCAACAAGAAGCTGGAGAAGCTACTTCAGCTTTGTAAAAAGTTGAACGTTGAGAGACATTTTAAAGGAATGATTCCTCTTTTCCTGGTGAAGATGTGAGAAAAGCGGCTATAGCTGAGCTAAAGCTTAAAGCAAAGCAAAGTCTGCGTTATCGTTTATATTTTTAGCCTATACTAGAACATCAGCACATACTGAAACATATTTACAGCCAAGTAGGTAAAATGCATATAAAATGATTTTTGTTGAAAGACAAAACAGTGCCGCAAAGAAAATGCATTTGTTCAGATTTACCACTGTTTTACCACAATCAACATTACATATAAATATTCACAAGATGTGCAGGTTTACTGGTTGTTTTGGATGGTAAATAAATAAAAATAAAATGTCTATTTTGTGGATAACGTGACCACTAGTTACTATCACCACCACTGTAAAGAAACAGGCAATTAGTTTCTCTAGACTGCACCCTTTTACATCAAACCACCAACTGGTGGGATTCCTCTTTAAAAAGAGCAGCTTTCTCTTCACTCATTTGCTCTGAACTGGGCTGCATCTGCTTTAGTGTAATGTAGTGAGAACTGCACCTGACACCAGAGGATTCTGGGAGGCCGACTGCTCCAGCAGGGCCATGTGCTGCAGCAGCGGGTTGTGGGCGGAGCCTCCCTCCCGATCTAGTGCGGAGGTGGCCAGGTACGAAGGAAGGTGGGCTCCGGTGATGAAGGGAGTGGTTATGGGTAATCCAGGCTGCAGGCCTGCCATCGCCAGCCGCTCGCCTTCCTGCTGACCAGATGCCACCTGCTCAAAGAGAAGGAGAGGAGGAGTGAGAAGAGAGCATGAGGCAGGAGGAGGAGAAGTGATGGAAGAAGAGGGAGGCCAATGACCATGAGACAGAAAGAGCAGACAGAAAAGAGTTTGTTCAACAAAGTCATGAAAGAAGGAGTGCAGAAAAAAAAGGGAGAAAAAAAAGTTGAGCACGGCAGAAAAGATGGAAGAGGAGAGGAGGGGAAAAAAGGGAGGTCAATGACTAGCAGAAAGAAGGCATTGAGGGAAAAGATAGAGGGGGAAAGGGGAGGGGAAAAAAAAGGAAAGAGTATGAAAGAAGGAGAATATGAAGGGTAACAGAAGGTGAGAAACAGAGACTGTCTCTCTTAAAATCAACACGAGTGTTAGGCTTTTTTGTGAGGCTGCTGCTTGCGTCAGAGAGCAGCGGACACTCTTTGTCTTTCAATAGGCCTTTTCTGAAATGGCAGTGGGGCTGAAAAGCCACATATGGCACACTGACGGTCTAGACAGCGGCCCCTCTGTGTGGACTCTTCGGCTCTACGACCATGTGTACGCAAACAGGCCCTCCTAGTAGCAGATTTAAAGAGAGAGAGAGAGCGAGCAAGAGAGACAGAGTGGAGGGCCAGAGGCAACACTAAAAGACACAAAAAGAAAGAGTGCAAGATAAAATGAAAATGAGAGAATAATTAGGACACAGAAATAGTGAGAAAAACGTGAGAGTAGGTCTGGACAACAAGGTCAAAATTCAGTCGCTTAATATATTTTCCATGTGATTTTAAATCAGTACTTAATGGTAACTGTATGCATTTCATAATGTTTAACAGTTGTGAAATGGTTTTAAAAAGCTTTTTGTTTGGTCTAATAGACAATAATAGATGATGAAAGAAAAACAATAAAGTGTTTGCTGCTAATACTGGATTGGGAAACCAAAAAAGGTATAATAATGTTATAGAAAAAAAAATGATCATTATTGTTTTGTCACCCCGGCCTAAGACAGAGAGTCAGGGAGCAAGTGAGCAAGATACAGAGAGACAGATAGAAAGGAAGGGAGGGAGGGAGAGAGGCACTCACGCTGGAGGAGCCGGTTGCTGGCAGACCCAGAGTGATGTTGGGGAGGGAGGGTGATGTGTACAGAGACAGCTGGCTAATAGGACCCTCTCTGCCAGCTAGCCGGTGTGCCAGAGATGGCTGGAAAAGAGCAGCAGACACATACAGATAAATAAGCTTCTCGATCAAAACTAACAGTCCTGTCTGGTGGTGCACGGACCCCTGCAGTCACCCGTCTGCATTACACTGCTGTATGAAGAGCAGCATACACATGCAGCCAGAATCCACAGCACTGCCCAGTCAGCGTCAGCCCAGCACTGTGGAAACTCACTCTTTACAGTCAGCAGTCTAAAACCAATGCTGCGATTCCTCTTAGGTGATTACAACCAAGAATACACACACTTGACTCTTAGAAGTTACTGTTATCACCAGCGATAACAAATGAATGATGTAATTTTATATAATTGTTTTCCACTCTGGCCTGGCCTGACCAAAATTGGACGTGCTAAATTGCCCCTAGGTGTGAGTGTGTGTGTGACTGTGTATGTCTGTCTGTCTGCCCTGCGATGGACTGGCGACCTGTCCAGGGTGTATCCTGCCTTCCGCCCAATGACAGCTGGGATAGGCTCCAGCACCCCACCGCGACCCAGAAGGATAAGCGGTTTAGATGATGTATGTATGTATGTATGTATGTATGTATGTTTTCCACTCTGAGGTAATTAAAACAAGCAGAACCCTGTTGAAAATGCAGATTCTAAACTTTTCAACCAACACCACATCTGTATTTGCAAGTAGACAAGATGCTCCGAGACATCTTGTCTGCCTCGTGTTTTGAGGTGAGGGTGCTGAGTTTAAGCACCATATAAGTGATACATACGAACTGATATGACTTTCTTTAAAATATTTTGGACAACTGACATTAAACTGGTGATGTTCTCCCTTTAAGTTGTCTTTTCTCTCTCTGGATGAACTTTATGTTACTGAGCAAAGCAACAACCAATCATCTATGTTCACAGGTGGCACAGAAACTCACTGCATCACTCCCATAGTAAAACTACATGCCAAGCGGGAGAGTTAATTGTTAAAAAATAATGCATTCAAAAGTTGGACATTATTGCATTATTGTTTTTAAATTTAAAAATCAATACAAGGCACTTATGGGCACAGAATAGTGCTCACACTTGTATTTTAGTGACATGGCTCCACTATCAGTGGCTGGCAAGGTAAACATTTTGGATTGCTATAACAAAAATGCAGTGTTAAACAGCTCACGGCCACTGCACATTTTGAAAATATATAAGTAAAATGTAAATACAAACTCAAACACAAGCACACATAGCTCTTTACTATGCTCATACTGTAATTTTTTAATTACTGTTGGTTATATATTTTTTTTCAATCTTAAAATCGGGGGTGGCTGTAGCCCCCTCAGCATGCCCCTCCTCCCGTATCCCTGTATTATGAAATTATGGGGATACAAATTGTATGTATAGGTTTGTTTTACAAAGAGATTAAAAAAAAAAAAACATTCTTTACATGTTTTCCATGTGTCTGTAATTGTGTGAAACTAACAGGAAAAATGTACAATCAAATCTGTCGACACAGAATGTAAACTGAATGCAAATGTGACTCCTTTTGTCATTATGTAATTACATTCACATAGTATAAAACAACAACAGTTATCACAGACCTGAGAGTTGCAGTGGTCCGAAGTAACTGTTTATAGGACCATGTCTGAGGCTACAGTGTGATGTGAGCAGTACCTCCACTGAGCTGTTGGAGATGGAGCCAGTGATGCCGTTCTCGTTAGTGATGTTATTGGAGCTGTTGTTGGGCGAGCTCGGACCTGACCCAGGGGCACTGTTACAGGCCGATTCTACAAAGAGGTAAACAAAAGATGCCATTTGCACAGCATAATAAGATGACATATTTGTTTCTATTTTCTGTACTGGTCACACTCACCTGCCATGTCTAGTGAGCGTTTCTTGGCTGTGGCGATGGGGCCGTCCCTCCTCCGCAGCAGTGGGCTGCTCCGCCGCTCCGTCACCTTCTGCTTCAGTCTGGAGCGCAGCTTCAAGTTTGGCTCAGAAGCTGTGGGTAACCACATACACGTGAAGAGGTCACATTCACACTTACAAACGACATGTTCAAAGCCAGCTCACTGTACTTCATGTACAGAGGCTAACAGTCACCTGATTAAAAAAAACACATAAAAAGTATGTACATGACTATAGACTAGCATCTGAGTCTGACTCCATGATGCATGCGTTTCTCAAATCCCGACGGATAAAATCATGTCCCACCAATGATTATTTCTCGCCGGAAAATCCTGCTTCGCTTGGAAATACGTCATATTAAGGAATTGGTTCTGATTTTCATGTTGACTTTAAGCAAATCACCAAGCTAAAGTTAATCCCTGACAGAGTAATTCTGCTCACAAAATGTTTCAACTGCACACATATAATCTCCATAGAAAAGCACTACCAATTGAACAGGATGCTCTAGAGCAGCCTCCTATGAGTCTAAGGTCAACATTACAAATGCCAAGCATCAGCTACAGGGGTATAAACTCCCAAGTATTGGGATGTGGAGCAGTAGAACTGTATTTTCTGGAGTGGTGGAGCTCCATCCAATAGTTTTTGGATGAGCTGAAGTGGTGTTTGTGATCCAGAACTGATATTTTAACATCAGTACCTGACCTGTTAATGTTTTTATGAACATAGTCAAATCCACCCAGCAATGTTCTAACATTTACTGTAAAGCCTTTCCAAAAAGTAGAGGCCGTTACTGCAGCACAGGGGACAATTGAGTTAATTAATAGAGTTTAACAGCTCTGATTTCAGAAGAGACAACGGATGTTTGGACATTCTTTATATGGAGTATCTTTAAGTGCATGTTTCTCCCAAAAGAGGTAACCACATGGCACATTACAGATTAGAGCTAAAAAGACTGCTTAAACTGACAGGACCATACAAGAGTACAAGGCACAGTCCTATCAAAGGTGGTCTAGGCAGAAAATACCTGACCACGCTTGTTTCACCACCTGACATCCTACTGCACAGGACTACAGAATGGACTGCGTGAGCTGACAGAAACTGTGCTCAGAAGAGTGTTCCAAAGTAGTGGCCAATGCCTGAACCCATGTATTGCTTACAGTTTTCAAAGACCCACAAAGGGCAGTTTAAAAGTGTCATAAATTCGGTCAATTTAACTGTAAAGGCTGGTGATCTTCTGACCTCGGTCAGTTATTCATAATCCACTCTTATGGTACAAAAAAGGCTCTCTAGATTCGCTCATTAGGAAGTACTTACAAAGGTCCAAACTAGCATCTGAACTACTGCCAGTTTGGCACAGCTACCTGCCCCAAGTTCAGTGAAGTCCACTAACAGCACAGTCTGGAAATGAATGCTAGTGGTTTTGTGGACTCTTAACAAAGCAGTACTTTTCTCATCTTTAGTGTACAAACAGCATTGCCGTAATTCAGGGTGTGCACTGGACCGTTCAGGTCAACGCCACCACGGAGGTGGCTCGAACTCCTGGACCATAATTACCTACTAGCAAAAGATCAACACGAGCAGCATGTCTGTGTGAAGCACAAATCCTGCCACTAAGCATTCTCTCACCCAAAAAACAGCCTGCTTCATCAGAGCCACTACCGCTGCCCAATCTCTCTCTCTGCCCTCACTTCAATTAGTGAGGCATGCTCTAACGACCATTTGACCCTTGATTAGCTAAAGACCTTGTGTCAAATGCACTGGCCAGTCAGAAGTGCATGCTAAGTTCATTAGTGGACTGTCAGGCCTTCAGGGAGTTGGGTGATGTTAAGTGCGGTCAGTAGTCATTTGGAGCATGAGCCTGGAGCCTCCTGCCCTTGGTCACACCCATTTAGAAACACTACTTTAAACCATAGATAAACCTGTCATAATGCACTTATTGACACACATCTAAAACAGAAAGGTTCCACAACTTAAAGTACTTTTCTAAGAGCACTCTGTATTAAAAAGCTGGTCTTGTGGTTGTGCTTAGCGAGCTAGGTAAGTACAAGGGTGGCACTTCTTGTAAGAGGCAGGACCATTCCCAGACATCTTTGTTAAAGAATGTACTGCATCCTGCCATTAAGCTCATGCATTAGTTGAGGATGAGGAACACATCTGCCAAGCACTGGCTTAAGTTTTGCCCTTATTCCGCCTTTAAAACTCTGCAAACTCTTGCGCTTCTCTTAAGTGAACAGTTACTAGAAAAAGCCACAAGCCTGCTGTGAGCATTAAAGAAATTCTAACCACAGATGAACAAGCAGTCAAGGTTACAAACTAATCATCATATCAGTATTTCTGTACATGCATTTCTAAACAGAACTTTGGGTTGAGAAGTCTGGTTCTAAACAGAAACTCAAGGGAATGGCTGTTTCTGACAGTTGTCAGTTCATGAATGTTAAACTCAGGATGTGGAATCTGTATAATTCATGAACGGATACTTTGGAAGGGGGAAAAATATAATAAATAAAACACTAACCACTGCTTGGCACTGCTGTTAGGCATATAAAAATTAAGTAGCACCAAAATTTAGCAGAAAACGTTTGAAAACATACTTCAAATTCAAAAATACCCCAGGAAACCAATAAGCTTTGTGTAACGACGACTATTCCTCCAGATAAGCTAACTCTATGGCTAAAAGATAAAACAGGATGCTGATGAGGACTCATCATCTTCTACACAAGGTCTTTTCCCCTCAGTGGACCATGTGCCAATATGTTCATCTGTAGTACAGTCCTGTGCAATGTCCATTCACTCTTTCTGGACCTAGCTAACATCAGCTTGAGTAGTTAGCCTAGGTGGTGATACTCTTGAACACACGTCTCAGTCAAGACCTTATCAATACATCCTTGGCAAAATATCCACTGGCACCTGGATCAGTTAACCGAGTACTCGTGTACCCATGGACAACCTTAGTAACTACTACTGCAATTCTATCAGACAGAGGCCAACAGTAATCCTAAATGCTAACAGTCTATAGGATTGTGTATAATTACAGAATAGCAGAGGTCATGCAGTACCTGCAGTCAACCAAATAATCAGACAGTGATCAGACAGACCACATAGCTTATGAGCAGGAGCCTTAAGAAACACAACAAGAGACAGGTTAATATGACCGAAACCTGGATATTCTGCAAAAAAAGGAAATTTAAGAAGTGCTGTATGCAATGCATGCAATGTAATACTGGCATTACATTAGGCGGTTGGTAGCTAGATCATATACCTCAAATGAAGAGGTGTGGAAATGCTATCAGCATTTTATGCTGGATGACTTTAAAAGTAATTGAGTAGGCTAGCCTGCAGGCTTGGACGGCAGCCAGCGGGGGGCACTGGGATTCCTAATAGGAATGGATGGGGAGTGCAGCGGGGCCAGGGACACTTGAGAAAAGTGTTGAGGTGGCAGAAACGAGCCTTCGAGAGAGGGCCAGGGTCACTCAGGGACTCGCTGACTTTGAAGTGTGTTTTTACATGACCACTCGCACATCCACTGCAATGGTCTGTGACATCTGCTGATGCTAGACACTTAGACAAACATATCTTACACCTAGGCCCACTTTGCTTTATATCACAGAGGCAGTCTTCTGCTACTGAGAAGGTGTCGGGCAACAGAGACCTTCACAATAAAATCATGCTGCATGAGGCCAAACTCATTAGAGCTCCTCTGTAGAACTAGAAAATCCAATATATCTATGGAAACATACCTGCAGCAAAAACAAGCCTACAAAAGGTGCTCTGAAATACACACACTACACATGCACTGCACAAAATAGCACTTGGGGACACTCAGATAACGAGAATATTGTAGTCATGCAGTCAACATCAGATTCCAAAGAGTAACGATAAAAGATTTACAGCCCTCATCTTGCCTCCTACTGCCGTTCTACAGAGGGATGCTTTTGTTCCAAGCGTGTTTCTACACCGATTAGCCTTTAACATTTCCTCATGACAAACAAGTAACACACCACACAGGAATAAATCTCCTATCGAACAACCACACACCATCTGGGCTCTCTACATCCTGCTTCTTGTCATTACCCAGCATATGGAATGTGTGAGAAAGAGAGAAAGATTAAACATACTGGTGAATTTCAAGCCCTCATTTTGACCTCCCACAGCCACAAGCTTAAAAAAACAGCAGCGTTTGGCCCAGCATGGCCTCCTGTTACTGCGCTGATTGGAATACATAAAACGGACTATTAGCAAAGACTGAAGAGGTCCCACTCACATCAAAAATAGTTATGTATCTGCACCCTGGGTAGAAACTGAATTGTGAAAAGGCAAGTACAACAAAAAAAAAGGTCAGAGAACAGCTGTGTTAGCCATGCTGATGCCCTTCTCATCATTAGAGCCAGAATAAAGTCTCAAGTGTGCACAGCTGAAATGAGCTGGAGCGGCTGAGTGCAGGGCTCACTGGGTGGTGCTCTTCAGAGCGGCATTAAAACAAGAACATTAGGAACCCAACTGTTGATCTGTGCCTCTGCGTCTGGCCACAGATGCCAAAAACAAGCTGGCACTAAAATGGCGTTTATTATTAGTGTTCTTTGTATCCAGTCCAGCTGAAGTTGAAGTAGAACGACCCCCAAATTCCTGTTTACACAACATGCCAAAAAGGTCAAAGGTCTTTTTTTTTGAAATTTGGATTTTTTTAAGGAATCTGAGATGCCTATTTGGAAATTTGGGATCTTTTTAAGAATCTTATATGCATGTAATGAACAAGTGCACCTGATGATTCCGATGTACTGATGAAGTCTGAAATTCCCCAAAAAAAACAAAAAAAAAAACAAAACAAAAGCAACTGAAGGAGATTCATCTGATTACAAATTCTGCATTCAAAATTCCAAAAAAGCGTATGAAGGATCCATGTGAAACTCCATATATACTCCAGACCATTCCCTTTTCTCCCCTCCTTTGTGCAATTGTTTTAGCACTCTCATGTGCACTGAATAAATGTAATCTATAATTCTGATGCACTGCGTATATAATTTGGACTCCAAATTACAAAAAAGATTGTAAAAATCAATGTGATGATTCATAACACATTATTAATTCAAGATCTTT